ATTGTGTTCACCTGGTGCCCTGTGTTGTCTCCTCCCCCCTCACCTGTGTCTTGTTCGTTTGATTGGTCCTGACTCCTGTGTGTATTTAGGGTTCTGCTTTCCTGTTAGTCTGGGTGTGTGTGAGATCCTTGTGGCTGCTGACTGTTCAGGGAGGACAGTCATCATGTGCCCATGAGGAATAAATGCCCACACCGGGTTATATTTGAACTCTTAGCCTCTGCCTCCTTGCTTGGTCGGGCCGCTCAATCGTCAGCGTCACAGATGCCAATGTCAATGGTCTTAGTAAAGATTCTTCCACAGTTCCCAGGTAGCCAAAACCAAAATATATATTGCCGGTTTAAACTATAAATGATCTGATATTAAATGCAGAGCACCTATGTGAAAGTGCTATTTACAAACAATCAACAGTTTGACCAATATTTTTTATCTAATACCATTATGTTGCACTTGTTTGAGCAGTTTAATAACACTAAGCTTGTTTTTGTGTTATCACTTAGCTTATTTATTTTGTCATTGTGTAGTTTTATCATACAAATGAAATTGACTTTCCCCCCGTGGCCCTTTTTATAACAAAATACAAGTTTTCTTTCGGTGTGCCTTGAGCTGAATCGATAATGAGTTTAGCGTGATAACAAAAACAATTATTTTTGAAAACGGTCACGGTATGCATATTGCATGTTTCCCTCCTTCTGCTTCCCACTATCTGTCTCTTGCATTGTGAGAAGGTGATTACGGAGCCAGAAAAAGGAGCAGGAAATGGTTAGTGGTCCTGAGGGGGTTGGTCCGAGGACATTAAGCCCACAGCGACAACGAGCCGCAGCTGTTAGACTTTTCTTTTTTTCTTTTTTTCCACATTCATTTGTTTGTCGAATTGAGTCTCTACAATTGCCAAGAACCCTCTCTGCCACTCAGGCACTCCAGAACCGCGGTGACAAGGCTGCTTTTAGCCAAATCCAATTTAATCTCCTTTGGCGGTAGTGGATAAAGCTGTCTCCATCCCCCCAACTGAGGCCAAGGAAGGCTAGTCACTCCAGTGTGAGATGCACACACACACACACACACACACACACACACACACACACACACACACACACACACACACACACACACACACACACACACACACACACACGTTCAGACTAAAGAGGAAGAGAGAGCACTAAACTAACATCCTAACATGCACAATTGTTTCTGCAAAGCCACTTTTGTTCTCCTCCCTTCTCCTCCCTTTTCTTTCCCCGTTGTGTGTTTTCTGCAGAGAGAGAGAGAGAGGGGGGGGGGAGAATTATGTCACTGTTATGGAAATGAGATAATGAAATAAAAAGAAGAGGCATATCTGAGACTCCTGTTCCTAGCCTGAAGCTCATCTGCTTCCTTTTTGTTCCACTATGAAAAAAGTGTGTGTGTGTGTGTGTGTGTGTGTGTGTGTGTGTGTGTGTGTGTGTGTGTGTGTGTGTGTGTGTGTGTGTGTGTGTGTGTGTGTGTGTGTGTGTGTGTGTGTGTGTGTGTGTGTGTGTGTGTGTGTGTGTGTGTGTGTCATTTGCAACAACGCTGTTGAATCGAGTGCTTGTAGAGCAAATAAACAAGTGATTCCAGAATAACTTTGCATTAGTTTGACTGGGGAGATCCACTCGATATTCAGCATTGATTTTCATCTGCAATGTTTTGCACTCCTCACATCAGTCTGAGTGGCAGATATGCTTCTTTGGTCATGTCATTGCTTCAACATGACCTCTGCTCTGCTAACCACCATGCCACTCATCTTGTATTAATGCTCTGGAGGGATAGTGGCTAAAAGAAAGTGGTTAACAAAAGTCTAGTATTGATTCATTGTACATGTAATTAATAGAATGTTAGCGGGTGTTGTTAAGATCCAATTGGAAGTTTACACGGACCGCTGGGGGTTGAGTTACTCTACATTGCTACTGTGGATACTTTAAGTGCATTTAGCTGACTACACTTATTTGATTTTGGTCAAAGACACCCGGTGGAGATTTGACTAATGGTGGGGCTTTGGGACCCTGTGTGTTGGTCCCTATGTGCGTACACACTATTCACATCGTGGCCGAATTATGTTTGCTTCTCTGCTGATTTAACGTCAGTGCCAAAACAATATAAAAATGTGCCCAATAAAGACACTGACTGCCAGCAAGCAAATATGGATGTAAACAATGCACCAATAAAATAATTTAAAAAAAGTGTTACAGTATGAGGAAGGAAAAGCCTCAAGGATACAGCATACACGATGAGTTTTACTCTGAATGTAATCATGACTTTACATTGTTAACAGGAAAACTCCACAGGGTACCTTTTTAAGTATAATAATTACAGATGCAGGACTTGTAGTAGATAGTGCTCAACATTATACATTTCCAGTGTATACAATAAAATCCCAGTCCTTATGACGCACGTGTATGGGATGTAGTTGAGATGTTCAGAGGTATAACCAGCTATGTCTGGCCTGCTATGCTGACTTGAAAGCGTTGTCTATCACCCTTATGCCCTCTACCAGGACATCTTTTATCTCCAACCTGTCAGCGCGTTGACATCTCACTCTGTGCAACCCCCGAGTCCCATTATCCACTGTTAGATGACTTTTCTGAATACACTAAGGGTAGCTATCGTCGGTATATCAAGTGGTTTTCATGACAACTGAACAAACAGGAAATGATGTAATGACGGTGATTTCAGTTCACGCTTTGGGCTAAGCGATCTGAGGTCTTAGCTGTAAAAGGTTATGCGAGAACATTATGGCGCTCATTATGTATAGTTAAAGAGAGGGGTTATTTGCTTTTGTTACATAAAAAGTGTGTTTATGTTTGTAGGAGTCGCAGCAGCAGCTATAGCGGTTGAAGATCATTAATTACGGGAGTTTCCCTACTTTCCTCCAGGACTGATAGTATGCTGCGGAGACACTGGCTCATTGGAGTAAATGGCATTAGCACTTTGTTCGCCGCGTGCCCTGGGGCCTTGTTTCCAAGCCTTTTTTTTTGTATCAGGCGGCAGCCTTGCGTGAAGCTCCCTTACACTACAGTCTATTTCTCAGGCTCTTATCCCCCCCTATGGAATTCCCCACCAGTGTATTCATTTCCAAATGGAGAGACGAGAGGGTAAGAGCGAAGGAAAAGGTCCAACGAGGCTCTCAGAGTTCATCAATCTAGGTAGCATTTAGAAAAGGCAAGACAAGCTCAACGGGGCATTAAGCTAACAAGCTAAATGAGACAAACAGCATGGCTGGTAGCAGGGAGGGACAAGTAGTTAGCGCGTGGCTAAGGATACACTCTACTTGAGACTCCCATTGCAGCAGTAGGGAGGGGAGGAGTGTCGCCGCGCTCATTAGCATCGCAGCGTGGATAGAGGTAGAGCCGATCTGCTGCCGGGGCTGAATCTGTAGAGAGGGGCCCACACAGGAAGAGGCTCCTCCGACATGAAAGGCAACACCACAGTCTGCAACTCCTCGTGATTCCTGCCTGATTTCTTCTTCTTTTTTTTCATCTTCACCAATTTGTAGTCCTCCTCCTAATCATATCCGATCTCTAAATCATCTCATCCCGAAACCTCTTCACTAATCATGTAAGTTGGAGAGGAATACATGCCTAACAGATGCTAGTATTGTCAGGGGTCGGTTACATGTGACTGCGCCTCCACAACTCAGTGGAACTGATCATTTTGGGCGGTTTACCTAAGATAACTTGTTCCTCCCTTCAGTTTAACCCCCCACCACTTGTGTCCCACTGAATGTGGGGCTGTGGACAGATTTGAATGTCCTTACTTTCTCACAAAGGGACATTATTGGTGGACAGAACCAGAGCAGTAACTATGGACGGAAAGCTGTGGGAAGACTTTTTCTGTCCTGAACTTGTACCACAGTATGCCTATTCTCATGAATAGTAGGTTTAATTTGCCCATTTTAAAGCTTTTACCTTTTTCAAATCTGTAATTGTATTACATTTGGAAATGGAAATGAAAAGGAGAGAAATTGGAAATGACTTGTTTTGCAGCCCACTATCAATTGTTCACAGTGGGTCATTTCTTTGACACTGCATCTGAATTATTGCTGATTACACTGGGTAATTTAGTTGAGATGCTAAGTGAATGTCACTTTCCGTCTGAGTGGAGAGAAACTAATTTGGTCAACTGTCATTTAGATTGAGCAAAAGGGCATCAGAGAAAAGTACAAAATACTGTAGAGGGTCACAAGGTCAAATATTGAATCAAAATCTCACTCAAGTAAAAAATAAATGTCCCACACATTAACTCCATCTCATTTTGTAAGGTTCCATTTGAGAATTTGTTGTGCTTTGAATTTTCCCCAAATGTCTTTCGCATGGTGCCTTCTTAGAGCCAATCAGCATGCTCGGTCATTCTGAGGTTGCATAGTAATGGCGTGTACTTGCATTAGCATCATTTTTCACTCCTGGCTATGCCTCTAATTTACATTCACGCATACATACAGCTGTTTTCCTATGTTTCACCTTTGTTAGTGTAAATTAGAAAAACACATATTCATTAATCATGTGAGTAATGTAAACAAAATCAGCTCGACGTGATCAGCTTGGTGAACATTTTGAAAAAAGGGAAATTAAAGCTGTTTTACAGAATTGTTCATACTGTGTTTGGCAGCGCGAGCCCCATCAGTCCCATATTGTGTGAAAGTGCTCCTCTCACAAGTTACTACCAATGGAATCTAAAATTGGCAGTGAATAGCTTTCCCAAAGTAGCTTTCCTCCATTTGAATTCAATATGCTAGCAATATTTGAAATGCTACACTCAAAGTAAATGCTATGAAAGTAAAAAAAAGAGTCAATTATTTTCTTTTACTGGTATAAATAACACTAGTTTGTTGTGTGCAGTACAAACGCAGCCACAGCGCTTTAAGGAAACCTTTTTTTCCCACTGAGGCAACCTCTTAATCAATACACAATCTATCTTGGTAATCTACTCATTCCTTAAGAAATGAACTGAATGCTAACACACCTTGTGCTTTTTCTTCTCCGCAGCACCTCCGAGCGTCCGCATTATACACTCGGGGCATGCCTGTAATGTGGAGGAGGAGCGGCACACGGAGAGAGTGTACACCATCCGAGAGGGAGAGACCCTGGAGCTCACCTGCCTGGTGACGGGCCATCCTCGACCACAGGTAAAGAACTCATCCGCCCTGAGCTGTCATCATCACCGAACCAAAATAGCCCCGCATGAATCATGGGACACGTTGCTAATTTAGTCTCTCCTTCCTGTCTGTTTCTTCTTTCCTCACTCTCCTTCCAGCTTGCTTTTTAATTCTCCATTAGCGCCAATGAGCGGCACACCACGTTCCTCTGCACTAAACCAGCTTAAAACTTTAATCCTTTAATTATTGATGGTTTAGGTTGCATTGTGCACCTGCGTGTTGATAATGAGAGCTTCCGGAGCTAATGAGAATGTGAAAAACAAAACAGGCGAAACATCTGCCAAAACAGGCCACAGTGTAACGAGTGTGGGTCATGTGAATGCACGAGGGTCCCCTGCAGCAGAGAGGGAGTTCTTCTCAAACTCTTTTTATTTACCGTTGTGATCTGAACCAATTCAAAAGTCTTCCAGCGTTTTCTGAAGGAAATAGGCCGTTCTGGTTTTGCCTTTTACTTACTGCTCTTTCATCCAAATCTATAAAAAGACAAATTAAAAACAAAACAGATTTCATCTACTTGTTTAGACAAAATACCGACTAACTTGATCCACGCAGGTATAAATGTCAGCTCTGCCACAGACGACCTGCCCATCACATTTTCTCCTCACAGGGCATGATTTGCACACACTAACCTTTCGAACATTTATCGAATGTTGTTTCCAATTTGCCGGTCAACTGAAAGTTTACGTGGGAGTTCAGCTCCTTCTCGGGACAGACAGCGCTGAACTTCTTTACATTCATTAAGATAATTCCCCTGTTGATCGATAGGCAGGGGGATTCATTTGTACACTTCCCCTCTGGACGCAGAAGCAATAGAGAACATCGATTTTTATATTCACAATTGAAAAGGTGAGGCCTCTTAAATTAGCAAACGAGGTTCCGACATCATCTTCTCTTCCCGTCGAGGGAGGGGTGGGGGCAACTTCACACTCATCATCGCTGTCTTTCCTCTTAATTAGAATTTGTGAAAAACAGAGCAGAGCGGGGGAGGGGAGAGGAGTGGGAGATCAAAAGCCTTGCGAGGCTGTGGCAGGAGAGCAGGATCTCCTTTGAAACCGAGTCATTATGAGACTCATGCAGATCCCCTGGCACAGAGGGTCTCTGCTGTGTCTCCCCCAACTCTGGGATGTGTCATCTGTCCCCCCCTCTGGTTGTGCCATGGGACCGCGGGGGGGAGGAGAGGAAACGTGCATTCGGGAGTAGACGAGGTTACCTGGGGTGGCAGAAGACCCACGGCTGGGTATGTGATGTTGGTATGCGACCTCTTTGGAAACACACTCGCACGTTGATACGGCAACAGCGACTCATCTTTTAAATCGGAGTTAAATATTAATCCGCAGAACATGTTCCCAGTCTTTCTTTGCCCCAAAGTTCCACATTTTAATTGAGTTTAGTTTCTTCATCTTTCAAGAAGTGTGGGGAGAAAAGTAATCAGTGCTCTGATTAAAGCTATGGGCACAGGTTCGGTTTTAACCTTTGGTGGGGACATTTCTCTCCAACGGTGTGAAAAGTTTAGTGTGAGTGTCCATACTTACTTACTTCTTCTTGTTTGTAATATACTGCTTTGTACTTGTTCTCGCCATCTGTTCGCTTGCTAACATCCTCAAACCAGGCCCATTATCTTAAAGTACAGATTTTAGTTTCTGATTCATAGAAACATTTTTGTTTTATTAGGTTATTTCACATTTGATATATGCTTACAAAATAAATGTTGTGAGGACATTTATGGGCAAGGCAAGCACTTTTCAACACAAGGCAATTCAAAGAGCTTTACAAAAAATGAAAGACATTAAGAAAATGGCATTTAAAATCAGTCATTAAAAAGAAAAGCTAATAAAAGAAACATTAAAATAAAAAATACATGGATAAAAGTTACAGTGCAGTTTAAGATATGAATAGTTCAATTAAAAGCAGCAACAAAAAGAAAAGTCTTCAGCCTGGATTTAAAAGTAGTCAGAGTTGCAGCGGACCTGCAGGTTTCTGGGAGTTTGTTCCAGATATTTGGAGCATAATAACTGAACGCTGCTTCTCCATGTTTAGTTCTGACTCTGGGGACAGAAAGCTGACCAGTCCCTGAAGACCTGAGAGATCTGGATGGTTCATAATTTAGCAGTAGGTCAGAAATGTATTTTGGGCCTAAACCATTCAGTGCTTTATAAACCAGCAGCAGTATTTTGAAATCTATTCTTTGACACACAGGAAGCCAGTGTAAAGACTTCAGAACAGGAGTGATGTGATCCACTTTCTTAGTGTTAGTGAGGACTCGAGCAGCGGCGTTCTGAATCAGCTGCAGCTTCCTAATAGATTTTTTAGTGAGACCTGTGAAGACACCATTGCAGTAAAAGGTAACTTGGTTCCCCTAATTCATCTTCCCTAGAGATTGTGTGATTTTCATTTTTTTGACTACTCTATCGTATCAGTTTCATATTCTTAGGCACATTTTGCATTAAAATGTTGTTGATATTGACGGAATTAACAATACAATAATAACTTCTGATACTCTTGGAAAAATAGCAGTGGGATATGGTTAGGGTATGTTGCCAACCAGGTTGTTTCTGTTTTTAAAGTGGAATTTCCTCCACAATATGCATCTTTGGCATGTATTTATGTCCAATCTTAAATACCAATGCTACAGGTTTAAATATATAAGAAAAAATTACTTTGATAAGAAAATACCTTTTTTGTGTTTGGATTTTACTGAAAATTCTGCTTCATGTGAGGTTAGTCTTCCACCTTTTGCTTTTGGCATTTAAATCAATGTTAAAATAAAATGCTTTAACAGTGAATATAAAAAAAGCCTACTAACACCTTACACTCAAACTTAAAATCAATTGACTCTTGATTCACCCCCTGTATATATTAAGTTTGAGTTTAACTTTAAATACCAACCTCTTCAAATGTACAGCTGCTCATTTATTTCCCAGGCATTACTGCTAATGCTTTGCAAGCTGTCAATGCTTAGTGTAGCCTGAGGGGAGTTGGATCAACACATCAAGTCGCCCCTATATCTTACTCTTTAACTTTTATTAGAATAGGCTACTTATTGCATTAAACTCCAGACGACTTGTACAGACCTTACCTGCACCACCAAGTGTAATTCCTTTAATAAACTCATATAAGATCATTAACAAATATTGGTTTGGACAATTCATTAGCACCTTCCCATTGTCATGGACACACAAATCGCTGAGCTGTCATCTGGAATACTTATAGAGAAGTTAGCAGTTAGAGCTACATTTAAACATTTTTTAATTTTTACACATACATTTAGTCGCTCTCTTTTTTTGCTTGATAGAAAGGCCACTGCAGCGGGGAGGAGTTGTATAGTGTGTCAACGTTTCACTCTGACGCAAAGTTTAAAATACATTGCTTCCTGTGCAGCTGTAATCGGGGTTGAGTACAGAAAACGCCATCCGTGATGAAAAGTAAAAGATTCCGGGCTTTTCTGAACACATTCAGAGCTTAAGCCCTGTAAGCTCGCCCCTGGAGCCGCTTATGATCTACACCTAAGCTTAATGGGAAAGCAGTTTCTCCCTTCCGTGGAATCATTCTCAATTTAGTTTTTCTCCAACAACTTCTATACCAGCCATAACTTTAACTACACTCTCCATCTGCACAATGATATCACAGTCAGGCAAGTCACACTACTCGATCACTGTAAATGCCATCGATTAGTTCTGCATTAGTAAATCACAAAATAGCTTTTTTCATCATTACTGTCCAAATTCCCCTCTCCCTCCACGGCTTTGAAATACTACCAGCTCCCATGATAATACACAAAGTGACGGGTGTTGTGCCAAGTTCAACATCAGCACCTTGAATGACCAACCACATGGCAAATGAGGCCATGGTCGGCAATTTTTGTCACCGTTTAATTCTCCTCATGCCTATCAATATGCACACTTCTTAAATTACACGGACGCCCCTCAGGCCCTCCTGCTGATGGAGTCTCTGGATTGTGTCCAACCAGGCAGCAGCTCACACACAGTGGGCCTCTCTGACATCCACCCACTCATCTCGGAGAAAAAGAAAAAAAAGAAACGGAGGCTTTCTAATAATAAAATCATACGTGCATCCAACCTCACACACAGACACACAGGCACACTCAACACTTGTCTGCCTTCCTATTTAATTGTCAAATAAATGTATGTTCCTGTCAGTCACCAGCACATCGTATAATATGTGCTTTTTTCCACTGTGCCTCTTGGGTTTGGCATTTCAAGTCGTTGCTGAAGGCTGTGGAGGAAAACTGGGATTGCTGGCATGTGGCAGGCTCGGGGGGGGGGGGGGGGAGTTCAATCGTCAGAGGTGCAAAGGGCACTGGAAGGATTTGAGGAAGTTGCCTCTCTGAGAATGATGAGAGAATATCTTGAATGTGCTTTTCTCCTCACTCCCTGATTTTTTTATTTTTTTATTTAGTCACTCTAGTGCCACTCTGAGGCACAGAGGTGATTTGAGCAAGTGAGAAGTCCGGTAATTTTCTCATAGACTTCTATGCAATCAGACTTCATTTTGTAACCTGGTAAACGTTGTCGATATCAGCATTGTCACAGAGGTGATTTGAGCAAATATGCCTGCAGGTACCTCCAGGTACCTCTATAGGATCTATAGAGTACTTCTACTATCTGTAGAAGTCTATGAGAAAATGACCGGACTTCTCACTTGATTTATACCCTCAATAAACATTTTCCTGATGAGTTTAAGGTCTCAATTTATAGTAGTGCATTTTTTCAATACAGCATAATGTTCAATAATTAGATCCAATGGTCCCATTTACTCTAAAATCGAAAGCAAGGCGTGCTTAAGGGCTGAACTACCTTGGGAGTTACAGGTCGGACTCGGTACCACAGGGTGTTGTCCAGTTTAAAAGACCTCAGTGTGTTGGTCCTACAGCTTAACCCCAGTGTGTTTTCAGTTCATTCAAGTTAAATACAACTTTTTGGTCTCCTTAAAATGGTTGTTTGTGCTTAACGCCACCCTCTTATGTCACAAAATGCCATCAAGTCATCGAAAGCGTCATGGTGGTTTACATCATGGTGACTGTCCACTTCTTATATGCAGTTTATGGATACATATATAAAAGACAAACAGATCCATTCTCTCTCTGTCTCTCTCTCCATCTCCATTCAGTGCCGGCAATTTTATTAGATGAATCAATTGGTAGAACATGAAGTTAATCTACTAAGAATTTTAACAACTGAGTCATTTATCAAGCAATGTTCAATATTATAACTGTGTAACAGCTTATCAAATGTGAAAAACAACTCTTTCTCTGCTCTATATCAATGACAATTGAATATTAATGCAACTTGAAGATGTCACCTGAGGCTTCTGGAAACTTGAGGAGCATTTTTCACTTGTTGCGACATTTTATGGATGAAAGGATCAAACATTTAATCAGAAAATTCATGAATACATAATGCTGAAAATAGATATTAGTTTCAGCCCTGCTGCTATTTTATAAACAGATACAAATAAAACCCTTCGTCTCCCTTTTATCTTTATCTCTATCAGCACCACACACATACAGATTTATCTGTTCATACTTTCACGGTCACCGTCCTCCAGCTCGGTTCATTGTCTTTGATGCCGTGAACAGACATCAAAGGGTCCCTGATGATGAAGCCATCTGCCCCCGTCTCCCCTGCCCTGGCCTCCATCCATTATGTCCACACTGCTTTGTTTGAGTACCAGGCTCCCAACAGCCAGCTACACCACATTGCAAACACCTTTTCAATTATTGGCTGGCCAGATTCAACTCGCAGCGCACCAGGTCAGCGAGTACAAATAACCTGACCTCGGGTCCAGGGACATTTCGCTTTATACAGACCAATTGGAGTATGTGATCTGTTTTGGATGCTCTCATGACAGTCCGCCTACAGTACTGGTGTCTTCAGCAGATGGTGCTTTTTTCAATATGATTTAACTTTCAATTTCTGCACTTACAAACGACAATATCAGCTCTGTTTCAGATCTTCCCATTGAACTAGACCCTGTCAACACACCCGCGGTCATTATTATTTATTTTTTCAAAGTCAACTTTATTGTCAATCTTTCAGTTTGTGTGTACAGACAGAGAGATTGAAATGTCGTTTCCCACAATCCCAAATACAAATATATATATATAAAAATATGTATACAAATATATATATATATATATATATATATACATAAATACAATCAACAGACATTTATACTCGATAATCTACAAACTGCAGCACTCTAACATATCGGATGTAGCTCAAAGCCAATGAAAATACAAGCGAGCCACCATTTTTTTAATTTGTCAAGGGTGTTTTGCCTATACTGTAAGAGATCCTGATTTCTGTTTTTATCTCTCTTCATTTTCAATATCAAACACTTCACTGAGTCATCTGGTCATCCAGTATTTTTCTAAGGGCCAGTATTTTCTAATATAGACCTGTGATTCGGACCCCCTGAAGCTTCTCCTGATCGCTTGATTGTCATGCTCAACCACACTTGGCTGCACCAGCGAGCGGCACAGACCGCCTTCGGTGCTGGAAAAGAAAAAAGATGGCAAGCAATTAGAAGCCAGTCTGTTGTTAGGGAGAGGGAAACGTCACAGCAGGCATTATGGGAGATTCACTGAAGACGCGTGCTCTGGCATATGATCCCTGCATAACAACAGACACTGGGCGCATTTTAATTAGCTCTCGCCGTAACATCGCAGCATGTGTGGTCGCAAACACTGCTGGGATTTTCAGTTGGATACTAATCTACTGTAGATGAGCTTTTTTTTAACTTTTCTTGTAAGCAAACGTTGATCTTTCTATTGGGATGTCGTTGTTGTATCGACTCTGCTTATCCCTGTGGAACTAAGTGCTGTCATGTATTTAATTAAAATAAATATGCAAAAATGTGCACAACTTTTCTAAACCATGCTGCGTATTACAGCATTTAAATGTCATGGTAATAATATATGCACCAGATTGCAAGGGAAAGACACGAATAATCAACTTCTACCATAAAACAGGAGATGGGTGGTACATCCAGTATAGTTTGACTAATTCCCCAGTGTATACTTATGAGCACCTCCAGAGATTCAGCTGAGAAAAGTGACAAAAGTGCAGCAAAAATAGCTTTAAAAAAACTCCACCTGGCTGCCAGTGGGTTAGGAGCGCCAATTATCATATTGCTCAAATCCGCCAGCTCCTCTCAGATCAAGAGTATTTGCATTGCACCAAGGAGAGTGAAGAGGGTCAAACTGTTCTCACCAGGCACACTTCAGGACTCCCCCTGTGGGCAGAGGTGCTCAGATGTGAGGAGTCAAAGTAGTGGAGTAATGAAAATAGCTCCAGGGTACGGGGCGAGTTGAAAGCTCACCGATAATGTGGTCTGCTGCTGAAACAAACAGCCGCACTTCCCTCTTGAAGATATGAAGAGTTTATTGAACACCCACCTCTTAGTATCACTGCGACAATGCACTTATTGACACTGCACTTTCCTAAAACTCAAAGCTCTTTACACAAAAGGCAAAGGAAATCACTGGGGGTATAAGCTGGTAGAATAAGGAATCCTGCTGAGGTCGCCATACGCTAGCTTGCTTTGTATTTGCATTAAGGGGAAACCGGGGCGCTGTAGGAGAGTGACACAGAATTCCCAAACTTCCTCTAATTTATAACCATAACTTATTTCACTTTGGGGCTGCTTTTGCTGAACTCATGATGTCCCTAACTGTTATAATTGGTCTATTTTCTAACAGCAGCAACGATCAATTGCTGAGTTCGGGCTTTTTTCATGAAGTCCTTTCTTTCAATGTCTCTTGGTGCATTTCCAGAAGGCCAAGTGGAGCAGTTTCAGCGCAGTGTATTAATTTAAAAGCATTTATTTCCAATGGTTATATATCCACTTAAAGGCTATATAAATGGATGGTACATAACCTCCGTCTGGCTACAGAATTGTATTTTCAGTGAAAGAGGTCGGAGAAGAAATACAGCATGCACATTCTTTGTATTTCAAGGAAGCTAATTTATTTCTCACTCTCCGAACGGTAGCACCCCAAGCAAGACTACAAATCTGAAACTCCTCTGATAAACTTCTGCTGCATGTGAATCCCTCTCCCTGTCATCCACTGGCCCCGGGCTACCAAAAAGAAATAGGAAAAGGGCACCATTATCAGGTTTTGGACAACCAAGCTTTCATTGCCTTTTTCCCGTCTGATTGGAAAATGACCAAACTTCTAAAGTGTGGTAACCCCGGGCTGGAGTCGTCATGGTTAAAACCCCCCAGCTAGAGCAGCATATCTCCCCGGAGAGCACCCAATCTTCATCCCTCCATGCTGTGATATCCCTGTTCTATCTGATGCTATCTCTCTAAAATGGTATGGTATCAGAGATGATGCTATCACCGTACAGTGTGGAGATATTTGATTCTAATTCATAGCCTCCTCCTGCTTAGACAGAGATATGTGAGGCTGTGCGAGTAAAGCCAGTCCATCTGCGGCTTACTTAGGGAAAGGGATTGAACGGTGCTTTATGCTCCGTAGCTGCCTATGCGGCCCCCAGGCCAGAGCAGTCACAGTACCTGTTCATACTGTATGCCTTAATGAGGACAGGAGAGGCAGATGATGGAGAGTCAATTATAACCTCATGTTGGAGAGTAACACTATTTCACCTTTCATTACACCTCAATGCCATGGGCTAACTGGGTCTCATCAGTTAGTGAAAGGTACTCATGCTAGAAGGCCACGCTGGTGTCAGTCTTGTGTGGAACGAAGGAAAAAGGGAAGTTAGAAGAAGATTTTCGACTCTAAAGTCCTCCGTACTGCGGCATTTCACAAAATAGCTCTAAAACAGGGTGTTCTCCATCAGTAGCTTGTGCACCCAATCTAATACAAAATACAGACAATATAGCAAACATGCATAAAATAATGTAATTTTTATCTCCTGCAAATTCTCAAGTAGTGCCTCTATTTATCTCAACTACACAGAGAACCCAATCATTATTTGAAAAAGGCTCATATTATAAGACAGGACTTTGATTGCAATTTTCGGATCTGCTTCCATTTCAAAGGAATGATACAAATCTTGCTGAGAGTTACGTGTGATGATTGATATATATCTGTTGGATACATATTCAACTACACACTGCAACCGGTTTGCTTAGCTTAGCATAACAACTGGAAGCAGGGCTAGCCTGGCTCTGTCCAAAGCGAAGACAATCTACCTCAAGCTAACTTCTAAACATGTTATATCTCGTTTATTTTATTCATTGAAAAAAGGTTTGGAAGACAACACCTTTTGTTTGAATGGAAGATTATGTGGCTAAGTATTCCTTGACAAGGGAGTCATAGATGTTGATGTTGTTGGCTGATAATGCAAACTTAACACTGTTGTTTCCATTTTGAGAATACAAGTCTCATGATATACTATTTATTTCCAGTCACTTCCTGTTTTTGTTTTACAAATCTCTGTGAGTAAAGCCAAAGACATTTGCTAAGACATTTCACATTAAAGGCCATTCAGTTGCTCAAAGGGCATACTCCAACCTTTTTAATTCGAGAAAAAAAGAATATATAAAACTATAAAAATATAAACTCAAAGCTTCAGACTGGTATAATAATTATATTATTGCCCTGGAATTGAGAGCTATTTGAGTGATGGTTATTCCAAGCCTTCAATGTTTTTATGACTTGTATGAGTATTTGAAGACTTGCTATCATTTGAAGAGTTTGTAGTATTATATTATTCACACTGTTTATTTCCTTTCTAACTGAAGCTGGACGCCTCACTCTAAATCTGAATCTATAGTCATGTCTACTCTTTGTTCCTCGCAGATCCGATGGACAAAGACAGCGGGCAGTGTGTCGGACCGTTTCCATGACTCCAGTGTGTTCAACCAGACGCTCAACATTGCAAAGATCCTGAGGACCCAGGGGGGGCGCTACTACTGCAAGGCTGAGAACGGCCTTGGATCCCCCGCCATCAAGTCCATCAGGGTGGACGTCTACTGTAAGTGCCATGTTACCATGAAAATGCACCCTCTGTTATGTTTCTTCTATGGAGGCAGACCTTGAGAACAGTACGTTTTTCTAAAGGTGTGATTGCAGTTTGTATCTTTATTATTGTGCGAAGGACTCGCCACAGTGTCTATCTCCTTTCTAAGTCTTTGCTATAGGACACATTTCAGAAAGCTGTGACCCTGAGAAAGGTGTATATTCACACTTCTGAATATGCAACAAAGTCTCTTAGCGCTACAGTTAAAAACACTAGTGCCGCTTCCACCATAGATACCTTTTAAATTGTAAGAAGCAAATATGCTTTAGAATAAAGTTCTTAAAATAAATATGATGTGAATGAAACAAGTTCTGCAACAACCCAAATATTTTTTAAAGTCTTCAAATAAAATCCACCTATAAACGGAGACATCTGCAGCACAGACGTTTAGTGTTGATCAGTGAGAAACATATTAAAAAACGTACAGCCTGATTTAGCAGCGTTCCATATTTATGCTTTGAAATAAAATGTAGTTATTCAGAGGTAGGGCATCCAAAGAGACCCCTGCGCTCTCCTGAGAATGTTAATTAAGCTAAAACGCTTTTATTATCCCATCGACTGCAAGTGCCACCTCTCTATTTTTAAAGTTTCAGTTCGACGAACGGTGAAGGCTCATTAGCATTCATCAAAGAGAAACAGTGATTTAGTGTTATTGTTTTTATTGATCGGGCATTGATTGTCCTATTTCACCTCGCATGTGGGTGGAAGAGTGCCGAGACGGGGGAGCCGCTGCCCTTTCATCGCAGTCGCATCGGATAGACTTCCAACCACCAAGAGTTTGTATCCAATGAGTAATATGTGGCTGTGTTCTTATCATCTATATCAGGGGTGCCCAACCAGTCGATCGCGATCGACCGGTCGATCGCGGGGAGATTCCCAGTCGATCGCGAGATGTGTCTAAAAATAGAACAACAACATTCTGTTTTATCGTTAATGTCCTATAACATAATCTTCCCGTGCCAGAATAATGCACTTGAACGCATCAAAGCTTTGTGATTGGCCGGCGTGACCCCATGTGTCGGGGCGTGGCTGGTGAGCAGTGGGCACTATTTCGCTGACGTTGTCCGTGTCAACAGGAGTGACAGTCCGCACACACACAAGACCGCAATTATGGCAGAAGCAAAAAAGCCCAAAATATATAATTTTCACTCCGAGTGGGAGGATGATTATTTTTGTATCTATTCCAATTCAAAGTCCATCTGTCTCATCTGCAATGCGAACGTGGCTTTATCGAAGAAGGGTAATTTAGGAGCGGCATTTCAAAACAGTGCACAAACGCTACGAGACGGAATTCCCTCCTAATTCTGCCCAACGCTCCCAAAAGGGGAGGGGCCTGAGAGCACAGCTAAATGCACAGCAGTCCATTTCCACTGGTTAAGGATCTGCAGTATTTTATGAAGTATTCATCGTACAAAGGTCAGTTTTATACAAGTAGAAGTGTGTATTTACCTGGTAGTAGGCTGTCAGTAACTACGCCTCTCTATTTGGACTGGTAGATCTCGGCAGACTGGCAACTTTAAAAGTAGCTCTCGGTTAGAAAAAGGTTGGGCACCCCTGATCTATATCAAGGAAAGTCTTTCTGACCGTCATTCATCTTCAAAAAATGCTGCGAATTCGGAAACAAATCTAGTTGTTGCGCTTTTGAACGCCTCCTTAAATGTTCACTAGTGCTAGACTTCTTTCGTCTCTTCTCATCTACTCTTTCCTCATTACATTTTACATTACATTATATGTTATTTAGCCGACGCCAACTTACAGTACATACACTTAAATACCATGGATTTCATGCCTATGGGAGCAATTTTTGGGTTGGGTATCTTCTTCAAGGACACTGCGACATGTTGACTGCAGAGGCTGGGATTGAACTCCTGAGCCTCTGATTGGTCCCCTGAGTCAGATCTGCCCTCCTCTCCTCTTTAGACTCCCTCAGAAGCACTCAATCCTGGCTTTCTTTTAAATACAAAGCAGAAAAATAAAACAAACTAATATGAATCTAATATAATCAATGACCTCTCCCTCTTAATTTGTTGCCAAGCATCCAATTTTCAGTCGCAGAAGAAAAAACCAAACATATTTTGCAGTAAATTAGCTCCACTCTCTCAAGTCCTTGACATGTTTCCAGTAAGGTTCATTTGATGCATTGTAGATTGGAAACACTGGGCTTTTTCTTTTACGGGTCTCTCTGCCCATATTTTCTTTCATGTCTCGGTCTTATTCTTTCCCCATCCTTGTGTCTGTTTATTTGGTCTGACACGGGCAAAGGTTGTGGAATTGAAACTAGTTTGGAAAGCCCCTTGAAGGCCTGAGCGTAGCAGCAGGGCTGAGTGTATCACAGTAGCTGACAGTCAGAGGCCTTGTTCCCTCGTGCACCGTTTCACCTTGGCTGCACTAAAGAGCCGCAGGAGCAGACGTGGAATGAAGCCAGAGAACACACCGGAGGATAATCAGAGAGATCCTCAATGAGCATCATTTTGAGGTCAGCGTTTTCATGCGGTGGATGCACTAAAATTGTACACTTGCGTATTTTATGTGTCATAATAAGATGTAATTTTTTTTGTGCTGAAATTCACATGCTACAGCAGCAAAAAGACACACCAAAGCCCCTTTTCACACATCCACTGCAACCATGATATTATCTAGATATCACCCAGAGGAGCTGTATGTGAGCTTGAAAGTTCTGAATAATTCGGATAGGAGATAATGACGACTTTACCCGGCAGCTCCCTCATACTAATGTAATGGACCATTGAACCCATGTATGAATATAGCAGCCAATTCTCTTGAGGGTCCACGAAGATCAAGTGGTCACTCTAATGCCATTTTTACTGCGGCCGCACAATCGTAAGAAAACATACATGGAAAAAGAGGGGTCCCCTCTTCAGAATAAACTTGGTTAATTGGAAAGACATGAGATTTGGGATTTATTGTTGGTAAGGGCCAATGCCAAAATCCTCAATAGGTTTTTATTCAATCCAGCTGCATGACCGCGGTTTAATTCCCAAAGTGAAAATGCTTTTGAAATGGGCAATCTCCTGTTTTGTGCCAGGCAAACAACCAGATTAAGAGGTGAAAAAACAGATAAAATTAAAACAAAGATGTTTTAGAAACTAGATAAATGACATTAATAAGAATATGAAATAAATATATTCTAGTTCCTGAGACTACAGTATGTAAGTGCACCGTACAATTATGAATGCAAAACAAATCTAACAAACGTGCAACGCAGCTAACACAGCCATGAAGCGTGGAGTATATTTTGTAAGTATAGTGTAAGTATTTGTAAAATGAACACATTATACATACATTGATACATACATTTATAGAAAAACGATTTTATTCAAAAAAGTAATATTCAACGTTTACAAAATAATCTAATGCAGTGTAATTTAATTATATAATATATCAACAGGGATCTTCTTTTTATGCTTATGCAATTACATCAACAAATGAGGAGTTAATGACAACATGTAGAAAAGAAACTTCAATATTGAATGACATGAATATCATGAAGCAGACATGCTTTGTTTCTTTCACACAGTAGTGCTTTAAACTGCCATCCTGATGGTGTCCTTGCGTCTGGCCTTGTAACACAGTATGTGTGTACTTCATTAGTTAGCATTTTTGCTAGACTGCAGCAAAAGCACATCAGTCCTCCTGAGCAATGTTACAGCTGTCCCCTGGGGGTGCATTTAATTGATGGGCCTCTGCAGTACGTGCTATTTTTAGTGGTTTGCAGCTACGGTTTTTAATTGGTATTAAAATGGTTGTTTCTGAGCTGGACCTCCCAACAACAACAGCACCTTGAATTATGTTTGCCGTAGTCTTTTCAGATGTATCTTGCATGCGTGTCACTGTTTGTATCCGTCTAAAAAAACAACAGGGGGGGGGGTTCTCTGTAGCACACACAAGACCAGTAATTTACATTAAGAGTCTTATAACCTGAAGATAGTTGTAACACTCACTTCCTTGGTTTTCTTCCCAGAAAGATTATCTGCCTCTACTTCCTGGACTCGAGGTTCTTTCTTTACATTTTCAAATAAACACTTGAGTGCTTATTCACATTCACACAGTCCATTAGTTCGGAGTATTTTGAACACGCCGTTCTTCACAAAGGTAGCCTGACTCACTCCCAATGAAATGACAAAAACGGAAATAAGAAGAGCTAAATGTAGACAGATATACAGATAAGACAGTAAACATCTTCTGTAGACTGTGACCAGCAGATGTAAACAGGAAGTAGTAATTCATGCTAATGTCTGATCTGCACAGCCCAAAAGAGCTGATATAAGCCACATAGCCAGCTCAAAGCTAACATATTTACAAAGCTCTGAAGTCCATCCAAGCACATTTTATACCTGCCGACACTTCAGTTGTGTTTGTTTGCAGTTAGGTCTGTGGGGAAGGTCTGTGCAAAGTTAATAAAGAACCTTGCCCAACTCCTACACTAATCGATTTGAGGCTTAAGATGCTCACTTCTTTTTCCTACAGGGGAGTCATTTCTGTGTTTTCATTTAATTTCAGCTGCATACATTTTCCTGCAGCATCTAATGTTTCATTGAGTGACTGATCGAGGAGGGATTAAGAGTTCTGCAGGGCCAGCTTATTACAGGCTCAGAGAGTTCATCGACCATGGCCAGCACAATATATCAAGTAGAGATTCGGGAGGAGGCAGTCAGGGGAAAATGTGACCAAAGTGACCCACCAAAAAAGAAACAGTTTTTAATAGAGTTTAGAGGCATTCATTATTGCTATGGAAAGCATGTTCCTAATGAATGAAAACAAGTGATAACCAGTCAACTGTTTTTCAAATGCATACCGGTATATTTAAATACAGTATATTAAATGGTGCTGAAATGAATGAAAACAAATCAATAATCAACTATTTGATTCCTGTGTTTTATACTGTTTGTTGGACTAACCAAGCAATTTGAAGACTGCACCTTGAGCTCTGTGAC